TTTCATTTGTATATACCAAGAACATACATTAAGGAATATTTTTTTTTTTTGTAGTGCAAAAGAAAACGGCTCATGAGAGAGATTTGCCAAATGATTTATCTAAAGAGAATCAATTCCAGTTAAGTCAGGATTCAACTCAGAAAATTTAATTCCTTTTCCATCAAGCAATAAAATGGCGACTGGAGAGAGGTAGCAAAGATAATTTCAGTCATACTATTTAAATGCTATATTTCCTTCTAAAGGATTACTTCTTACAAGATCATTTTTCTCTTTACTCTAATTCTTATGCCATTTACAAACAATTTGGATTATTAGACTAGTCCATGTGAGCTTTTAATGATACCTTAAAACACTTGGATTTAAAAAAATTTGGACAAATATTAAAATTCAATTCTTTAAGCTTTGGGCTTGTTTGCTTTTTTAAATAAACACTGCTCATAATTTCATATGTAAGAAATCTGTCTTTAGCCAGTTTTTGTTTTCAATTGTCAATTGCTTTTTTAGATAATAAATCAAGAATTGATTAGACAAAGTAACAATGATGTAAGAATTGATAGAAAATAATCACTAGTAGTTAGAAATAAAATGTTTTACTGAAAATTCATAAAAATATAGGACTTTCTGACATGTCTGAAGAGAATAAAAATATTATAGATACTAATTATCAATGTCTTTGTAAAATAACTCATGTGTTGAGCTGAATCTGAATTAATGCAAACTTGAGGAATTTAGATATGGGGGTGAGGCCTAAAGAAAATGTTTTGTTTTTTTTTAAAAAAAAAATTCACCATGATGCTGTTGTTTTAAAACTAATTCAAGGATACATTACAGAAGTTTTACTGACTATAAAAGTAAAGAGAAGGGAGCTCTAGTGGCCTCGTGGCAAGAAGATGCACTGCAATCCCAGAGGTACGTGGTTCAAATCCACCAGATGCTCTGGTGGAGAAGGAGGGACAATCTCCTCCTGTGCCAGTCAGATCCGATTTGACAGTACACACACACACACACACACACAAACACAAATAAATTTTAAAAAATAGAATAAATAGAAAAATAAGAACTTTAAAAATATTTTCTGAAATATAAACTTTGTCTCCTTATAATTACATCTTCAAAATGTATACACTGAAATTTCCAGTTATTTTATTTAGCAACTAATAACTAACTTTGTAAGATTCTTATTTTCACTTTTAAGTGACAAAAAAGCAGTAGTATAAATGAAATTTGAAAAATTACAGATGACAATGAGAAGGTTCATTATCAAGTGTACATTAAAATAATTTAATAATGCAGGAGGGAATATATAAAACTACCTTACAATATCTATATATTATCATCATTAACTACCCTATGTCAAAATATTATTGTAAAATGAGGCCCACATATGGCATAGACAATTCTCAATTCTACTTTTCTCCATATTAAAGGAACCCATCTTTATAAAACAAAGACAGTGCCAGTATGTAAAATACAATGTCCTCAAAGAGGCAATGCAACAATCCTCTGTACAGTCTTCGCTTCAAGATACTTTAAAAAGAGCTTAGAATTTGGAGAAATGGAAGAGAAAAAACAAATTACGTAAATATCTACTTCCCTTCTATTTTAAAAATAATCCTTAATATATTTATTGATTGATTATAGTAATGGCAATCTATATAATGGTTATTTATAGTAATGATTGTAGTAGGAAATAAAAACAAATCAAACATATGGGAATAAGGTTTTGATTTGGATGCTAGCCTAACCAAAGTTTCATTTCTCTGGAAGGCATAATATTTAAAAGTGAAGAAATGTACAGCCTTCAGTAACCGGACTCTATCCATCTACAAACTGCGTGACTGTGGGTAAATATCTTTTTAACAATCATTAATTCATCTGGAAATGAGATTAATAGAGTACTCCAGAGAGCTACAGGATTTATGTCACTATCTATCATATATTATGCTTAGAATAGTGTCTAGCTATTAATGTATTCTGTCCTCTCATTGCAGTTGAGTCTGGACTGACTCATATCTGTGGTGTTAGCCTAAAAGCTGACCTTTTTTTAGCCAATACAGTTAGTGCCCTCTGGTCTCCACCTACCTTAACTACAGACAAATGGTCTTGTAAATCATCAACCGCTGTGGGACTAGAATAAGAGAGTGCTTCTCATACTGGGCAGAAAGACTTGAGGCAATCAAAACTTGTGACAGCAAGATTTGAGGGAGACTGCAACAAGACCCTGGTAAGAGTGAGACCTTAGTAATAGTGGTGGAGAGACTGTGGCACTGCTGCGAAGAAACTGTGACAAGGTGTGACCTGCGGCTTCTTGCACTTGTACTGGCTACACAGAAAGGATTTTGCTGTTCCTGCCAGATGCTCAAAGGAGAAGCTGACTCAAAACTGCTCTGAGGCAAACATTGCTGGATGATTTGGATTTGACTGTTGAACTGAAACAAGAAGTTGGACTAACTGAGGAATTATACCTTGGAACTGGGCTAAAACCTGGAATTGTATTGGGTGATAATCTTTGCCTCCCTATTCTTCAACTTACTTCCTTAATAAACGATATTCTCAATACTTCAACTATGAGTCTACGGTCAACAACAAATAAGCAAACCTTCTGCTGCAGGTAGGGCTCTAGAGGCCACATGGGGCTGGGCTATGGGCTCTTTATCTGCTTCTTGCTCTGAGGTGGTAAGAAACTGTGCTCTTCTCACTCCCTCTGGCCCTTTTACAGAGAAACTCATGGCCCAGTGCTCTTATGTCCCGTTTCCCCCTCTTTAGGTAATAGCTAACTATCCAGTGAGTTTCCAGAGGCTGTGAATTGCAAATGAGGAGACTGTCATCTTTCTCCCAAAGAGCAGCTGGTGAATTCAACTGCCTGACTCTGGGTTGGCAGCACAACTTCTTATCTACTTGGTCACTAGAACTCCTTACATAAGTAATAGCTATTATTAACTCTATTTTATTAAGATGTAAAAGAGAGCTCAAGTGGCCTAGTGGTAAGGAGTTATACTGCTAATCCAAAAATAAAGGTTTTGAAATCTTGCATATATTCAGTGAAACCAGCAAATTTTAATGAATCCACTAATTGCTAAGGGAAAGAGATGGACAATCTCCTCCTGTGAAATTTACAGCCTTTGAAAAACACCTGGAGAGTCAGCTATGAGACACTTCTGACTTGATGGTTCATAAAAAGATGATGTAAAATTTTACTACTTCCATTATCAGGAGAAAACTGCATGTTAAATAAAGCTCTTTTAAACAATTAAAATGAGTATATAATGAAGATTCTTTGTACCTTCTTAAAAACAATTTAGTATCTTCAGATATGAAAACTGAAGGACTACATAAAGAGTAGGAAGAGAACTCTATCCAAGAATTCTTACTTAGGTACTTTTTATCAATGTGTCAAATTACAAAATCCTGGTAACAATATAATTTGATACATCTGTGGCTTGGTTAAACAACTAGCAATTTAACTGATAAAAATATATGTGACCAAAAATAAGCTGGGTGTTTAGAAATAAAATATTGTTTAAATAAATTTGATAAAGCTACTGGACTATTATGTAGCCATAAAGGGTTTTTAAAAGAATGTTTACTAAGTGAAAATACACAACCATATATGCAGCATTATAAAAAGTTTGTTTAAAATTGTCATTTTCAGTGTTTCTCAAATTTCAGTCATTTGTATATTAAATATATATTTATATAAACTATGAACTGATAGTTTTCTTCAAACTGACTCAATTTTTACATTTATTTATTTAATAAATGAGATGCAGTACAGTAAAGGCACATCATCATCTTATATACCACTAATAAAAAATGCTCGTATAAACTATGTTATGCCACCAGTTTTAAGACATTTAATTTTACACAATATAAATGGGGGGGGAAAGATATATTTAATGACAGCAATATAAGGTAGCTATTTTAGCCTTGTCCTGAATTAATTAATTACTTGCTGGGGTTCCTGTTTTGAGTTGGTTCTGACTTAGCAGCAGGTTTTTTAAGCAATTATATCCAAAAAATACAGGTCTCGTTTGTCCTATTCATGTTCTCCAACATATGTTAAACAAGAAAAAGATTTAAAAAAATTTATATATATATATATATACACACACACACACACACACACATACATATATATACATATTCAGTAGCACACATATTGTACATTTTCATTAGCTTATGTGATGTACGACCAATATAGTAGTTTTATGTCATCTACATAACTATATATGCTTTATAAAGAGTATCTATTATTTTAACTATTTGTACATGTTTACATGTTTATGTACAGTGTTTCTTTGTGTGTATATACACACACACACACACATTCTCTCAAGCAGAAACCTTTAAGTAGTCAAAATTTATCCTTAAGATCTCTGAAATAGACTTACATTAGTTATATGTGTTTTTATATACACAATCTGGCATAATAAAGTTTGAAAATTACTGAACTAAAGTAAGCACAATAAAACTCTACATTAGCTGTCAAGACAATAGGAATAGGACAACAAGTAATTTGACTTCATGTTTATCATAAAAAGGAGATGTGTTCCTGCTTATCTGTATTTTATTCTGCTTTAAGATTTGGTTATTAAAATCTGAAAATGGATTTTTTTAAAAGGAAGATAAATGAGCTAGTCGAAGTGCCATTTTATCTAGTTATACTCTACATATAGCTAAAGGAGAGGACAGGGTAGATCAACAATGAAAAACAGCATGGATATGTCCTTTTGAGTTTTGAAATCTTGCATATATTCAGTGAAATCAGTAAATTTTAATAATTTGCTACAAATGAATTCTAAGGAGATTATCTTTATGGCAAAAATAAGAACATCCTCTGACAGCTATCATTATCTAAAGTGAGAAGTTTCTATTCCTTAATAGAACTGGCTATTACGTCACAATACCAGTTTTTAATAGGTCACAGTGGAGGCTGCCAACTGCAGAATCACATTAATTATAATCTACAGTGGAACACTCTGACAGTCTGCTTTTCAAATTCAATGCTCACCTTTAAAGTATTTCACAGTTTTAACTCTTAATTCTAAAGTAGCATCTTCATCACATACAAAAATTGTTCGGGGATGTTGCTGGAAAGCTGAAACAGTCCACATGTGACTGACTCCTTCTTCTATTGCTTTGTACAGGGCAAATGCTTTGTGTGCACCTGTTATGAGGATCATTACCTGCAAAACCGTAAGCATCACCAGTTAAATAGTTAAAGCATGACTAGGCAATGACTAGACAGCTCATTGACACCCCCACACATGCGAGCTCTCCAACTTCACATTTTTCCCCCACAAGCAAGAAGTTACAATGATATTCTAAAGGATACAACAGCTTCTTGCTTACCCATAGCTCTAGCTAGTTCTGCTTTTTTAACGTAACAAGCAGGCACCAAAATATATCCCTATTTCTGTTTTAACAAACAATTTAGTAAATAGATCATTTTGCCCTTCATTATACAGAAGAGACCTGGAAGAATAAAGAAATGAAACCAAAAGGCTGGTTCACAAAGGCAGATTAATGAGTTAAGAAAGAATTTATGTAATTTGAAATGATACACCAAATCACTTTGGTCTAGAAAAGACACAGATATTGCTTTAAGAAAAGCCAAACAGCTTACAACAAAAAGATTTTAAAAGTATTCCTAAAGAAGTCTGATTTTATTGGTTTTGTCCTTCAGTCATCACAGGACAAATACTACTGAGTATCTGTTTTGTGATAGGAGCTCTGGTAACCTAGTCCATTGGGTGCTTCATTGCTAATCAAAAGACTAAGCACCTCCAGTGGTTCCAGTTCACCAGCAGCATGGAGGGAGAAATAACAAGCCGACTCCTGTCTCTGAGAATGAGAGCACTGAAATCTGATGGAGGGCTGCTATGAGTCGAAATCTACTAGAAAACAGATTTTGTTTGAATAGTTATGTGACAAGTAATGTGAGGTGCTAGATCTGGAAAAACCAAGCAGCCCTGTTGCATCTTTTAAAGATTTCACTGTACTTATTTCGAAAGAATGGTGTGAAAACTCAACATTGTGAAGTGGTGAAACTCTCATTTCCATTATACTTGTACTGGGGACAACTAATGTAAGAGACATCCTACACTCTGGTTGAAAAAAGTGACAAAAAGTCATTCTAACAATTAGCAAACAGTTTCATTATAACATAAATCTTATTAAATATGAGAAACTCTACATGCTCAACTTTCAGTTTCACATTTTAGAAATAAATTTTTTGGAAAACCTCAAAACTCATAACCATCGAGTCAGAACTGACTCAAAACTGACTCTCCAGCAGGTTTTCAAAGACTGTTAATCAAAGGAGTGGAGATTGCCCACCTCTCCCTTGGAGCCACTGGTAGATGTGAACCATCAAAAGCACCACCTCTGGTTTCACAGTGCAACTCTCTATACACTGTGCCACAACTAACTTATTTACTATAAAGTTTCAGTCCCTGAAAGAACCTTTTTTCTTCTACCAATAATTTCTCATACAAAGAGACTTTTATTTTTGAAAGACAGTTCGATATGTATACTTAAGTACGTACATATCTAGGTCAAGATTGGTTACTCATCATAACCCATTCCAATGAACCTCTCCAATCTTGCTGCCAAAAGGGAAAGAAGTAACTGGGATTCATATAATTTAGCCACTTATAGTCATAAAGCAGGAACTCTGATGTCCTAGTGGTAAAAAGCTATGCCGACAATCTGAAGTCATGTGGTTTGAATCCACCAGGTGTTTCATTGAAGATCTCTCTTTCAATGTGATTAACAGCTTCTGAAAACCCACAGGAGGGTCAGGTATAGGTAATGCTGAGCTGATGGTACATAGCAACAGCACAGTGATAAAGTGGATATATTTTTTTTTTTCTGTTATTCTCAGGGAAGGAAATTACAGCCCAATTAAAACTTGGAAAATTAAGCAGAATTATTGTTCTGAGGTTTACTCTTTTTAACTACACCAATTTCAGAACAAATCTAGCTGTAATCAGCTCCTTTCTGCTGCAAACCACTGGTGCTAGTCTACGGGGATGAAGCACTTCACACTGCTCTATCATGAGGCATAGTGTAATTCAAAGTGCATCTTAGAGTTACACTAGTCCTTTCAAATTACTATTTCACTTGATGTTTCATCTGATCATGTTAGGACTTCTATTTAAACTGTAAAGCAAGGAAAGGCAAATGAAGAGGATCCTAAAAGAGGTGATATGCTATCCTTGATTTACAGATCCCAAACATTTAATTTATGCAAACAATTTCTATCTTGAAAAGATACATCTAAAATTGGCACTTGCTCATCACCAACATATATAAACAAAATACATATAAATATTAAACAAAAAACACTAAAGAATAATTCTTACTTCTCGAGCATCCATCACTGTCCCCACACCAACTGTCAGAGCCATAGTGGGCACTTTTGACAAATCACCATCAAAATATTTAGCATTTGCCAAAATGGTATCCATTGCTAAAGTCTTTAATCTTGTCCTTGATACTAAACTGGATCCTGGCTCATTGAAAGCAATATGACCATCGGGACCTATTCCTTTCAAAAGAAATACACACCAACACAGACAGACATATACATTCATAAATAAAGTGTGTCACAAAAGAATTTTCTCAAAGTTCAATACAATTTTAAGATTAAGAAATTAAAAAAAATACACACCTTATTTTAGAGATTAATTCACAGATGAATAGTGCATTAAAATATTTGTTCTTCTACCTAATTTAGTAAGTATATCAATATTTTCTACTCATTTACATGTAAATACTGTACAAAATAGTATTTTACATGCATCAGCTAAAAAGATACACTAAGAATCCTGTGAAATAAGAAAATTAGATATCTAACTATTCCTTTAATTTCCCAGACTTTTTTAAGTGTAAAAGGAAACTGATACTAATGAATAAGTAGCTTGCCCAAGACCACAATTTAGTTAAGTCTTAAGACTCAAACTTAAGATTTTATTTTTATTCCTGCTGTATTTTATATTCACATTTTAACCTGCTTGATTATAGTCCAAATGGGCAAGTAAGTAGTACATTTTCTATCGTATGAGTTCTGGTGGCTTAATGTTAAAAGAGTTGTGCTGCCAACCCAAGGGACATAGTTGAATTCACTGGCTACTTTTCAGAAGGATGGGCAATGTCTTCTCATGTGATTAATGGACTCTGAAAACCCACTGGAGTGTCAACTATGAGTCTAACAACTTGATGGTACACAACAACAACACTTTAAAAATGTGTACACTAGTATCAACACCAAGGGTAGTGTTTGGTTTGGGCGCCCCTCCCCCAAGCTTTTCTGTCTATTAAAAACCCATTTGACACTGCAATGTGGTACACATAGCACATGTATACTTAACATGTATATAAATATAATTAAAATAATTGCATGAAATAATACTTATTATGATAAGTATGACAAGAGGTCATACAAGTTATTTTATTCATTATATATTCACTTCATTTACAAAATGAAAAAGAGCCAGACTGACCAAATACAGTGATTTTATGACTTAATAATGTATAACAACCTGCAATCTGAAAAACAGTGCTTTACAGCCAACAGCAGTAACCATGACTGCCAGCACTAGTACTCAGGATTACTTCTAAAATAGAGGTCTTCTATTTTATATTACTTCTAAAAATATAGCATCTTCATTTGAAGTTAAAGGGAAGTAAAGATTTTTCATAATACCAAGAATAAACTCTTTGATATAAATTAATCCTCTTATATATTATTTCTTTTCTACCAACTAATCATAGCACTAGTCTGTGCACTGCTGTACAGAGTTAACTTGTGTTTTCTATGATGCTGAACACTGTGACACTGATGTGCCAAATGCTATAATGTTTACCCATGGTGGACAGTGTTTGGTGGAGCTTCTCAATTAAAACAAGCTTGGGAGCAGGAGTAGCATCCACTTCCGAAAAGGCTTGCCTCCAGAAATTCTATGAACAGTGTTCAGGTGTTTCGTTCATAGGGTCAGTATGAGTCATCTATGACTTGATGGCACTTAACAACAATCAACTAATCAAGTATCTTGGCAACCTCAATTTAAAAATCAGTTCACAAGTCCTAAGTTGTTAAAAAGTTTACTACACTTATATGTTCTTTATTGTTAAGTATATTTTATGAACTTTTAAACTACCAACCTATTTTTCCAAAGTCATAACAAAATAAATGACAGATAGTAACTGAGTTTATTTGGAAAAGAGAAGAAAGTGTAGATTTTTATTGTTAGGAATACAACTCACAGTGACCCTATAAACAAAAGATCTGAACCTAGGCCTGTCTTGCACCATCCTACTTCCTAACACATAAGAGCCCTTTGTAGCAGTCAACTTGTCAATTCACCTGGTTGAGGGTCTTCCTCTCCTTCACCAACCCTCCATTCTTCCCAACATCAGGTCCCACTCCAAGGAACAGAACCTCCTAGCAATATGTCCAAGGTATGTGAGGCAAAGCCTCATCATTCTTGCCTCCAAAGAACACTCCGACTGTACTCTATCCAAGACATATCTATTCATTCTCTTGGCCATCCATGGGATGTTCAGCCAGGGGGACTGACACGGTAACTGCTGCAATAGGTTCTTATGTGTCAGGAAGTGTGAAGATAGCACAGGGTTCAGATCTTTTGTTTATAGGGTCGCTATGAGTCATACTTGATGCAAGGGCACTCGACAACAGCAAACAGAAGTCATCTTTAAACCATCAGAGTCTGAGTTACACATTGTCTTGTGTTCCTATAATTTTATGGCTTAGAATGTAAAGAGTATGAGAAAAGTTTTTTTTTCTATGTCCTTCACAGGTGTATCCTCGTCATTTATAGTAATACACAACATACATATTTGAACTACAACTTTAAGATTGTTATTGTGCACTGTGGAGAGGACCCACCCAATAGCTTATGTCATCATAGTCTCCAGCAGGTTTTCAGAGGCAATAAATTGCACAGAAGAAGACTGTCCATCCTTCTGCAAAGCAGCTAGTGGATTTGCAGTGCTTGCTTATGGAACTGCAGTATAGCTTTTTACCAGCTACTTAAGTAACAGCTGAATAATGAGTGGGCACTTGTTACTGTATGCTCTGCCTAGGAAATCTCCCTTACCACAAGGATGAGAATAATTACAGTACCTTGTATCTCTCTTGGACAGAATGACTACACAAGGGATGAGCACACATCCCAAGGTGAATTAATCAGAATTTTTTCTGGAGAACAAGAATCTGGACAAATGATCCAATTCTGAGATATCTGAAAACTGAGCTCTATTTCCTAGTTCTCAATCTTCCAAAGACTTGGTTATCTCCATTTCTCTTTCAAGTCTGTTACCTCAGCACCATTCCAATAAATTTGCTTTTGTTCCACGGTTAGTTTGTTTCTTATAATCTAATCAAAAGGCTACTTTTCTTCTTTGCCATCTATTTTACTTTAACAAACCAAATATCTAATTTAATAATAACTTTCATTGTCCCTGGAGAATTCTATTTCTATATTGTCTTGCTAGCTATGGGTCAAAGATTACATTATGTATCTTGCCCATCACTTTTGCCCTCAAAGGCAGCATTAGAACTTTTCAGAGTCTGTATTTCTCTTTTACACAGAAGGAAGGAAACTCTTGTTCTGCTTCCCAGGAGTGAGCAATAACAAATTATCTAAGTTTTCCTTTCTGTTTTCAATTCAGAAGAAGAGTAGGAAACATTAGACTCAAGTTCAATCTGAACTCTTGAATCCAACTTTACATTTAATAAATCAGTTATTTTTATCCCATCTGATTCAGTTCTTCATGTTTTTAGTAAATAAATCCTAGAACACCAAAGTAAGATCCACATACCAAACCTCATCTTAACATAAATCAACAACTGCAAAGAATCAATGATATATTTTAAGTATTTACATTAAAATCAAGTGGACACAATGATTGTGACTCACAGCAACTCAATGTGTAGAATAGAACTGCCCCAGAGTTCTCAAAGTTGTGACTTTTAGATAGTTGATTAACAGACCTGTATTTTGAGTGTGGCTGGGAAGGTCTAAACTTCTCCAAGTAGTTAAGAGCATAACCATTTGACAACCCAATGATCTTCATATACACGTATGTATATATTACTTGCAAGTGAAATTTGGTGAATGAAATATTCCTCACATAATTTATAAATATAATAGCCATACACAAAAAAAAACTGGACAGTCATGTCCATTTGTGTTATTAGAAGGCTAAATGATCTCCCTAGATAATTTTAGAAAATTAACCAGTGAACACTTTATGGAATTCAGTTCTGTTCTGGTACATGTGGGGTCACCATCAGTTAGAATCAACTCAATAATAAAAAGTTTAAAGGTTAATAATGAATGTTGTGGGAATATTTTGAGTTGAAAAAAGATTGATTCTGTAGTGTATTTTCTGAAGCAGTAAATCACATGGGAGGAGACTACCCACCTTTCTCCTGCAAAGCAGCTGGTGGTTTTGAACCACATACCTTTGAGTCAGCAGTGCAACTAAGCCACCATAATGATGAATACACAGTCTTCTCACTTTTTATTGACTTCTAAATAACATGAAACAACTTAGAAGATTGGTAAAGTAATAAAACTCACCTATTTAAGAATACTAAAAGGATGTGTTTATCACTGAGGAAAGAAAATACTCTAAAGGGGTAAAGTTAGAAGTTCAGCAGAGACTAGAACCTCCTCAAGACATGATTTGAACTGACTTGAGCACAATTAGACTACAACATACTCGAACTACCACAACTTTATGATTTTTGTTGTGTGCCGTGGAGCTGGACCCAACCAATAGCTTATGTCCTCATAGTCTCCAGGAGGTTTTCAGAGGCAGTAAATTGCACAGAAGACTATTCATCCTTCTGCAACGCAGCTGGTGGATTTGCAGTGCTTGCTTACGGAAGTGCAGTATAGCTTTTTACCACTAGCCACTAGGTCACCAAAGTTCCACACTGTGCGATTGTTGTTGTGTGCAATTGAGTCAGAACTGACCCATAGCTGAGCCTCCAGTGGGTTTTCAGAAGCAGTACCTCGAGCGGGTTTTCAGAGGCAGTAAATTGCATGGGAGGAGATTGCCCATCCTTCTCTTGTGTATCAGTGGGGGATTTGAACTATGAGCCATTTGAAATTGCAGCTCAGCTTCCTACCAATAGGCTACCTAAGCTCCTAGGAGATAAAGGATTAATAAATAGGTATAGTTCTGGTGGCACACTCAGTAGCTTGAGCACTATTAAAGCAAAGGCTACATGACTCTGGTAATTCAAACCCACCAGAAGCCCTGCAAAAGAAAAACCCATAGTCTCCTCTCATTAACATTTACAGCCTCAAAAGCCTGATGGAAGGTCACTCACTGAAACAGAACTGACTTGATAAACAGGCCGTGAGTATGATAACTAGTCACAGGTCCACTTACATCGCACAGTGCTAAGACATCTGTTTGCTTTTTAATCTTATAAAACCTAATTAAAATATTAACAACTGATCAATGGCAATGTTTTACATACCTCCGACAAAAAGATCTATTCCTCCAGCATCTTTAATTTTCTTTTCAAATGCATCACATTCTGCTTGCAAATCTGTAGCATTTCCATCAAGAATATGAGCATTATTAGGATCTATATCAATATGCTTAAAAAAGTTATTCCACATGTAAGAATGATAGCTTTCGGGATGATTTCTGGGAAGTCCTAAAAATGAAATAAATAAAACTGTAATTATTTCCAGAAATAATTGTTATATTTACCTTTATGATTAAGCAGTAAGTGCTAATTACATTATATGGCCATACTGTATGATTTTCAACTCAAAAGCACTGTGCCAGACATCATTTTAATGATCTTAATCTGAACTATACCTAAGGAAATACTATTATCCTCATTTCACAGATTAGAAGCTGAAGGGCAGAACGTTTAGGAACTTTTCTAAAATCATTGAGCACCCAGGGGATTCAAATTCAAAGTCTAGTGCATGTATCCTTCACCCTCTCCCCTCACTCCACCTCTTAATTGCATAAAATATTAGCAGAACTGATTTATGTGTTAAGCTCAACATAATTAACCACTCAACTGAAATGTTTGCCTATATTTCTCCTCTACTCTTCCTACATGCATGCAAAATATTCAGAATCACAACAGTTCTCTGGCTATCACTTATGTTATCATTGCCTATAAAGAAAGCACTTGTCGCTTAAAATATATTGGTACATTTTTACTTGCCAATAATCCTCCACTACATAAACTGAAAATGCATTCCAAGTTTAAATTTTTTACCAGTTTCTGTGCATCACAGATATTCTCAGTTAAGCAAGTTAACACTCAACAAATTAGAGGAGCTTTAAGGCTTGAAATACAAATATGAACACATTTTTTAAAGTCTCTTATAATTTACTTTTTACTCCCACATTGCTTAGTTTATCCTCACAACAATATTAGTTTTAACCTCATCTTAAGAATTTAAAGATAGAGACACAATGAGAAAGGCTTGGCTCTATATACACGGTTGGTATGTGGCATAGTCCAAGATGAACAGTGAATTTAGGATTTCTCTAGCCCATCATTTCTTCTTCTATACTATAGAGTCATTCATAAAAACATTTTCATATAACTCATAATCTTATTACAAAGCAGTATGTATTTCAGAAATATTATTAAACCTATCCCAATAATACATCCTGTTATATTCAAATATAGCTTACCGACATATTCATCCATGTTAAAGGTCTTTACATATTTAAATGAAAGGTCTCCATTCTTGTGATATTCTATTAGTTTTTTATAACATCCTAAAGGTGTACTCCCTAAAACAGATAAGAGATTGGATTTACTAACTTTGCAGTTACTACTTTAAATAAGCAATACATTGAACAAATTAGTCTCCTGACAACCTGACAAGGTACCTTACAAGTTTCATAATTTGATGTGCTAAAGAAAATGATCCCTAGAAACTGGCCAAATTAGAAAAAAAAATCTTTGATGCGTAGAATTTGCTAAATAAACCTAGAAATGTACTACTAGAAATTTGAAAAACTATCAAGTTTCTCCTTGGAGGCTAGGATTTGATGCGCCATCTCATATACTTTGGGCACATGGCCAAAAGGGACTGATCTTTTGAGAAGGACATCATGCTTGGAAGGGTAGACAGAGAGCATGAAGGAGAGAAGACCTCTGATGAGATGGATGGCACAGTCACTGGGAAAATGGGATCAGGTGTCTTGGAGTCACAGAGACCGACTCAGGACAAGGAAGGGTTCAGTTATTGTACATAGTCACAGGCAACTCTAACAGCAAATGACAATTGTTAGTTTGTGAGATAAACTATTCTTGAACTGTTGAGTATTTGCAATAACTATTACAAATTCCAAAATTAGAAAATACTGAAAAGAAAAATTAACATGCGACTTTCTGTGAAAAACATTTTGAGGAGTATTTCTAGAATAAGTGATACACAAATAGGTCAAGTGCTGACCACTTAGTGAAATCAAAGGACATACAGGAACTAAAGTTAAATACTGTTCCTACTTTCAAAATTTTTCTGAAACTAGCAAAATCTGAGTGAAGAACTTTAATTTACAGCTTTTCAATTGGAGTTCCTATTTCTCATTTCATATTCTCTTCAGTACATTTTCTGTTAGGATATATAAAAAAAGATAAGCGTGATTGAAAGCAGAAGTCTTCTAGAACATAGAGAAATGATGTTAGTTATAGAACAGGGTTCAGGTCCTGTTCACAGGGTCGCTATGAGTTGTATTTGACTTGACAGCACTTAACCACTGCTAAGTGAGCCTAGTGTTGTTGTATTTTGGAGGAACATTCTTCCAAGTTGTACATCACTCTTCCGTCAATTTGCTATACTGAATTAATATGGGTTGGCTGTGATGTTGAAACTTGTGCCACTGGGGTGTCAAATGCCATAACGGTTGCCCAAGGTGGACAATGTTTGGTGGAGCACCCAGTTTAAGGCAGGTTTGGAAGCAGGAGTGGCATCCACTTCCTGAACCACATGCCTATAGAAACTCTATGAACTCTGATAAATGTTGATAGTTACAGAAAGGCTTTAGACCTTTTGTTCATAGGTCGCTATGAATCGTTCTTGACTTGATGGCAATCAACTACAAGAAGTTTTATATACTTCTAATGGTATTATAATATGATTCTTTTATGTTGCTGTTGTTGGCTTTGAGTCGAGCATGACTCACTGTGACTCTATAAACAAAAGGCCAGAAGCCTTTCTATAACTATCAACATTTATCAAAGTTAATAGAGTTTCCGAAGGCATGTTGTTTAGGAAGTGGATGTAACTACTGCTTCCAAGATTCTTTTATATGTTTTATAAAATTGTTATGTGAAGAGAAACTCTTTAATGATATTATGTAGTATATTATGACCCAATCAAGAGAAATTAGCTATTTGGAAAGGGTCTTCCTCTTTGTTTCCTAAATATGCTTCCTCATCCTTTCATTTTATCTCCAACCTGGAAGGTTAGATGACAGTCTTATAACAAGCTTAGAGTCTGACCTTTCTAATCCTGCCTGAAGCACTGACTCCTATTTCACCTATCTGGGGGAGGGGGGAAGACAGGGGGTTGCTGCAGAGAGGGCTGAACAGAAAACATCTACTCAAATAGTAGACAGAAGTCTGATAGATTTAAACAAAAGCAACTAAACCCAATGCCCTTAAGTACAATAATTCTGACTCATGGAAATCTCATGTAGTCTCTAGCAAAAAAACCTCAATAGCAAACAAACCCAAATCCATAAAATAAAAAGCACAAACAAAAATAAAACTAAGAAAGATCTAAAGTAGTGTAAAAAAAAAAGTACTTTAAAATAATGAATAAAAATGGGTTGGTTATGTGCTATAGAGTTACTTGCAACTCACAGCGACCCTACATACAAGAGCCCTGAAACCTGCTCTATCCTGAGCCAAGCTGTCTGAGACACACCTAACCCTCATTACCCCAGATCCTAAAAGTGGGTACAAATACTAATATGTTCTGAAAACCTAAGTAGAGTTAGCAATGGGTAGGTCCCAACTCGATGGTGCAAAACAACATCATAAATATTAAATATCACCAATAGGTTCAGGAACAAGAAAATAACAGACTGATTTAAACTAAAATTAATGGTTTAAAATGTATGTAGTCATATTTTATAATCCCTCCCCATTAACATAAAATTTGCTTAAAATAATAGGTAAGTCTATTTCCTCGTCTTTTCCAGAAGCATAAATAGATCTGATCTTTCAGTGTTAAGATAGTAATTACACAATTCTGCTCTTAGTTAAAGGTTGTGTGAATAAAAACTGAGAGGTTGTTATAACAGTGATGACAGAGTACTTTACTTCATTCTTTTTAATCCATGTGGCTCCCTTAAGAGGGAAGAAATGAAGAAAAGTTCTGCAAAGGGTGAACTGGATGAAGATATTTCATTTTAAGACTTTATAATCTCCTCCCATGCAATTAACTGCCTCTGAAAACTTGTCACAGGATCAGCTATGGGTCGGTTCTAATTCTATGGTACACAACAACAAAAATACTTATAACACTCACATAACTAATATTTTGCAAGTGTTCAGTTTGGTTCCTACAGTTTAGTTTTGGAAGAACTCACAAAATAGAACTAAATAAGCACAAAATACTATGACACAAGTAGAACTTTGTTAAGAACCTAAAAATTAGGAGTACTGTGATGAACTAAAGATGAAAATTCAATATAGATAGGGATTTTTAAAAAGTAACTTTTCAATTGAGTGTTGAAGAAGGGATAATAAATTCCCCAAATCGAAATTAGGTAGGGTATAAGTGTTGTTAGGTGCTATCGAGTAGGACTCCTGTCCTATACTGTGTCATGCTCACAAATCTTGACATACTTGAGCCTGTTGCTGAAGTCACTGAGTCAATCCTTCTGGTCGAGAATCTTCCTATCTTTTGCTGACCTCTAACCTCTCTAAATATGCTGTCCTTCTCTAAGGAATAGCCTCTTCTAACAAGATCCCCAGCATATGTGAGACAAAGGTCTGCTAATTTTGTCTCCAAGCAGCACTCTGACTGCACTGTCTCCAACATATATGTTTGTTCCTTTGATAGTCCAAGGGATAGTCAGTACTCTCCTTCAGAACCACAGCTTGAAGGCATCAATTAGATCTCTGTAATCCTTATTCACTGTCCAGCTCTCAAATATACAAGTGATTAAAAGACTGAGGCCTGAGTCAAGCACACCTTGGTCCTCAAAATGACATTACTGCTCCTCTGTAAGTCCTTGACTACAGACTTTCTCAGTACAATACATCTCTGCAGGAGACTTACTGCAGGGTGTAATGGAGAATATGAAAGAGTCAGACATGACATCTGTATCCCTGATGCTGTTAACTGTCATTGTGTCATAGGCAACTCATAGCGACACTATGAACGAAAGTCCTCAACACCTGTGTGACTCTCATCCTTTCTCCAGGTTCATAGGGTTTCTGGAGGCAAGCTACTTATGGAAGTGGATGCCACTCCTGCTTCCAAACTTGTTTTAATTGGGGAGCTCCACCAAACACTGTCCACTGTGGGTAACCATTATCGTTTGTGACACATGCTCTGTTGATGTTACATGCCATTTTATGCAAGCTACAGTACATCTCTCCCATTTTGAAAGCAGAGAAGTGGATCAAGAAGAATTAGACATTTACTAACTGTCACAGGCTGTGGAGCTAAGGATTCAAATCTCATTTGTTTGTTTCCAGAGATCACAGTTTTCACAATATTACATGCTAAAAACATGAGCAAACAAAAAGACAACAAGTTCAAGCTCTAAATTCTGAACTACAAGAGGCAGGTCAATGCTATGGCATGCAAACCTGTAAATGTCAGGCTCATGAATGTAAGTCATTTCATAAGTATATACTGAAAAACTACTACAACCAAAATTCATTGCTATTAAGGCAAATCTGACTTACAGTGTGACCCTATTATTACAAAGTTGAACTGTCATATAGGATTCCTAAGGCTGTATTCTTTATAAAATTAGACAGCCGCATCTTTCTCACTCCCTGCAGTGGTCTGAAAATGAATCTGCAGTATTTCAAGGTTTGTCCATACTAAATATTTCTCTTAATTAAAAAAAACTCATGTATAGGCCTAGTGTTAAAGAGATATGCTGCATAAATTTCAAATCCAGCAACTGTTCCATAGAATGGGCAATCTATTCTCACATGATTTACAGCCTCTAAAAAGCCACTGGATGGTTAGCTAAGAGTTCTGACTCAGTGGCATAAAACAACAATCAATTAGTACAGCATAGTGAGGAAAATCTTTTACTAAGACATAAAATTTTATGATCGTGACTACCTATAATAGACAAAGTAGTTCATTACCTGTTGGTAAACCCAGAGTAAAGTACCTGTCCTGTCCAGGTTTGAACTGAATGATGCGATTACAGATGTATTTGGCTGCCCATTCACTAGCCAGTTCATAGTTATCAAGAATTACAAGCCGCATTATGATGATGAACAGCTTCCAAAGAAAGACGTTCAAACCTGAGAAAAGTCCATTGTAGAACACTTAGTAATTTATGCACAGACAAAAATATAATACACTCATGACTTTAAAAAGGACATGCATACATACAAATGCATATATAAAAATACCACTTCTTCACAGTGATAACCCTTGTTCTTTCTGAGCAGATTCTGGGTTCTTAAAAGTGGAACAGGACATGTAAATGCATTAATGTATTAATCTCTACAACTGTGTCATGAAACAAAACCACAGTTACATATGAGTAAAGAGACTCAAACAATTCTATTAAGTTTGTGCTGGCAGTAACAGAATTAAAGCAGACGGATTATAAAAACATCACATTGTCTTTTACAGGAATAATGTATCTTACTCAACCAACACAAAATGATTGATCCTGAAGACAAATCAGTACAAGATAGGGCAAAGTTCCAATCTGTTGTTCATACTATCATTACGGGTGGTAGCTGACCAGTTGGCACTTAACAACAATACTGCCAAATAAGATATTTGTTTCTTTATTGAAAAATAAAATTAATTCATCTACTTTTGGATTACTTACTGAACACTGAAATCTCTCTATATTGAATTTAATGACCAAAATCCTTTGTAAATGGTGGTTTTGTGTAAAAACTAAATCAGTCAATTGTTAAAGAGTCAATCAATACAAAACGGTATAGAAAAGAAAATATACTCAACCCAAATTCTACCACTCAGACCTAATTTTTATCTCTGTCAGGAAATCAAAAAGTGTATTGCAATGGGAAAGTCTGCTGTTAGGGACCTCTCTAAGGTACTCAGGAGCAACAGTGTCTCTCTGGAGACTAAGGTGCGCCTGATACAGGCCATGGTATTTGCAATCGCTTGTTATGCATCAGAGAGTTGGACAATGACTAGGGAGGACAGAAGGAGAGTGGATGCTTTTGAGCTGTGGTGCTGGAGAAGAGTACTGAATGTACCCTGGACTGCCAGGAAAACAAACAGATTTATCTTGGAGAGGATTAAACCAAGCTACTCCTTGGAGGCAAGGATTCTGGGGCTTCGTCTGACATACTTTGGACATGTTGCCAGGAGGGACGGGTCCTTGGAGAGGGACATCATGCTTGGGAGGGTTGAGGGACAACGCAGGAGGGGAAGACCCTCTATGAGATGGATTGATTCGGTGACTGGGGTAATAGGGATGGGTGTGTCAGAGGCGGTGCGGTTGGTGCAGGATAGAGCAGGGTTTAGGGCTGTTGTGCATAGGGTCTCTGTGAGTCAGAAACGACTCGACGGGCACATAACAACAACAACAACACAATGCAAGTATGTAAGTAGGAAACACAGAAATAGTACACATGCTATTTTAGTAAAAAACATTTAGTTTCATATAAATGCAGCAGAAAAAAAATTATAGTGAACCAAAAAAATTCGGAAGAAGCTGCCTGCAATCCCAAAAGCACACAGTTCAACTCCAACAGCTGCTTCCAAGGAGAAAGATGGGCAATTCCCTCTTGGGCTTTAACTGCTTCTGCAAACCCACCAGAAGGTCAGCTATGGGTCAGTTCCAACTCAACAGTACACAACAACAAGGGAAGAGTTTCTCCTCTCATAAAAAAAAAAAAAATACTTAAAATATCTTCTAAAGTTAAGAAAAAATACAATACAAATAGTAAGAAGATAAGCATTATTACTACATGACTCCATGTTAGACAATGTGGATTAACTACCATAAAATTTATAATTCTTAAAGTTCTTTGTACCTTCCTTCTTTAAAATACATTGGTAGGTACCATTTTTTTCTATTCATAGCAATCCTGCATCCAGAGTTGAACTGCTTGCCCACACTGGACTTTTCAGGCTGATCGATTTTTTTTTTTTTTTGCCAAGTAAAATTCAAAAGTGTTTTGTTGGTTTTTTTTTTTTCCTTCTCATTTCTTTGTACATCATCAAAACTCCTTGACATTGAGTCAGTATTAACAATACTCATAACTTGATCACTACAGAATTCTTTCCTTTTGAGAAATAATTCCATTTCATCAACACTATCATTTGAAATGAGAATATTTCTTGAACTGTTTTCTTTTTTTTTTCAGTATTTCCCAAATATCATTTAAATGTAACAGATCCTTCAGCTTAATTTCAGAACTAATGAGAATGTATGTAAAAAATCCAGATAAACCACTCCTAGTATGCTATTATTGTCAATGCTAGTCATTAAAACATAAAAACTTTTTCTTGACATGAAAAATTTCCATCTATGTGTTTCCACATGTATCATTAAGAGTTTTTGGGGTTTTTTTAAGGCTGTAACCTTTATGAGGGGGCTCTGGTGGCCTAGTGTTAAGAAGCTGAGCTGCATTCCCAAAGGCACACAGTTCGAACCCACCAGCTACTCCTCTGGAAAAGGATGGGTCCCATGATATTTAGCATCTCTGAAAAGCCACTGGGTTTTGAGTTAAAAGTCGATGCTCACTTGAAGGCACACAGCAATAACAACAACTTTTATGGAAGCAGATTTCCTGTTTTTTCTTCCTCACAACCACTAGCTGGGTTCAACCATGCACCTTTTGGTTACCATCCAAGCCGAGCCCTTAATGATTTGTACAACCAGAGTTTTATTCTGTAAGACATACTAAATTATCAAGATTTTTAAATAAATTATCAAGATTCATAGGGTTCTTTAAACCCTAATTCTAAGTATTTAATTTCTAGTTTTCCATTTAAATGGGTCAACTACCACCACCAATGATTTCTGTATTGCTAGATTCACCATTTACTTTTAATAAAGGAATAAATACTTTCACAAAGGAGTAAATCAAATGCTTTAAAATGGTAAGTATTACAATGCAATCTTGTTGGGAAAGAACATGTTGGATCTAAATTATAATCACTTAAGAGTCTAAATCAACCCAGTGACAATGGATTTGGTGTTTTTGTTTAAGGATACACTTAAGAATACAATTACCTAGAATTTTTGAATTAACAACAAATGAGTTACAATCACCTGATTAATTTTCTGGCACAGGAACAAGAGACATCTACAGCATTTACTGATAATAATTTACATCATACATCACAAATTCAGTACAACAAATAAATGGACTTGACATCCATTCACATTCACCAAGAATGAAATGTCAGAAGCAATTCAAAGCTATATCAAAGAATGAAATGTGAGAAGCAATTCAAAGCTATATCAAAGAATTAAGACTACCTCCTGACTGCAGGGACTCTCAAGAGATACAATTTACTTATAATAAGAAAAGTACTGGGAAAAGTATTAAGAAAAAAATTTATTAAAATATTAAGAAAAAAAGGAGGATTGTGCACACTAGAATGTTTCAGTGTCTTCTGTTATAGGAATGTTACACAGTATCTTATTTCACTTGTTAAATACAATTCTGCAGGCCTAATATAGTGCCAAGTACCTGACTTGATGGCACCTAACATCAATAAGCTAGGTTTTGTGGGTACAAAATAGAGGGCCATTAAAGTGCTTACCTTGGTATTGTCTGAAGAAGAAATTACCATTCTCATCCGTCAGAAAAACGTTTTCTCATCTATCCATGCCATTAAGTGACTAGATCTCAAAATGGCAATTAAAAAGATCATGCCTTCAGTGTGGCTTTCACCAAGTGCCTTAGCGGCAAAAATCACTAAGGTTAAGATACTTTTTAAAAAAAAAAAATAGGCTCCTAGGAACCTGCAGAGAGGATGCAAGACACCCAAGCATTGGGGACTGTCCTTCATAGGGTTGCTATGACGGCCCTTAACAACAACAACAGACAGACCCTTCAAACAGATCTCTAATGGGATACAGAGAAATGTGTCCTTAAACAAATGTACCTGTTGATTCTCAAAATCAAATTACGTTTCAAAGAGAAGACAGAAAAAGAGGAGCAGCAGTGCTCCCATGTTTCCTCTTAAGTTCAAGCAGTTCTCTCAGGCTCAGGTACAACGAAGCTTTATTTGGTTTTTTTTTTCTTTTACTGTAACAGGGGCAGTGCTCCTGCCAATAATCTAGATCATTTCACCTACAGAGAATGGAAATGTTTTCATACTTACTCAACTAAACTTGCTTTTTCCTAGTTCTCAAAGATCAAAATCAAGCTTAGAAGAGCTAGTCCAAGGTATAAAGAGAGTGACAAATACAATCAGAAATACAAATACAATCTGAAGAGAATAAAATTGATGAATGGAACCTTCTGAAGATTAAATCTATGTGTGCATTAAAAACTTTTTCCAACAGGGTGGGGGGAAAAAACAAACCTACAGACTGGGAACAAACATTTGGTAATACCATCTCAGACAAGAGTCTTATAACAAAAGTTTACAGAATATTCCTGGGCCTCCACAAGGAAAAGACTGATAACCCAATTACAAAATGGGCAAAAGACATGGAAGTAATTTTCCCAGAGGAAGATACTCGAATGGCGAACAGACACGTGAAGAAATGCTCCAAATCACTGGCAATAAGAGAGATGCAAACCAAAACCCAATGAGGTACCACCATCTCACTCCAGTAACAGTGGCAAAATTTGACAGCAAGTAATAAATGTTGGAGAGGATGGGGTGATGTAGAACTCTTAGACATCGTTGGTGAGATTGTAAAAATGATACAACCATTCTAGAAGGCAGTTTGGCCCTTACTCAAAAAGCTTAAGATAGAAATTCATATATATGACCCAGCTATTGCAATACTGGAAAAATACCCTGAGAAAATGAAAACGGAGGCACAAACGGAGATTTGTACACCAGTATTCATAGCAGCATTATTCACTATCGCAAGAACATGAAAACAATGTCCAACCGCAAACAAATGGATTTAGAAATTATAGTACATTCACACAATGGAGTACTATGCAGCACGCAGGAGCAATCATTTTGTAAATTATTACCTAACTTGGGAGAAACTGGAGAGCACTATGCAGAGTGAACTCAGTCCCACAAGGATAAATACTGTATAAAACCATCAAAGAGGGGTGGGTGAGGCTGGAAGCAGGGCGATGAGGATTTGCCCGGGGTGGGGGGGGGG